AAAAAAAAAAATTAAAAAAAAAAAAAGACAGATAATGAAAGCAATGACATGAAAGAGCCCATGTTTTTTCACTTGGGATGAGGCTTTAATTTAGCAATTATAAATGAGAATAGGCCTCATTTCATTAATGCAGAGAGGATGAAATATAATTGGTAATTATACTAAATACACTACAATGCTTACCAGATTTAAAAGATCTGCAAGTTTTTCTAGAAAATCAAGTCCAAATTCCTTATCTTAGCATTCGAGTCCTCTCAAGTCTGACTCTCAACTACTTCTCCAGATTCATTTTTCTTTATACTCATTTTGGCCAAAGGAACTCTTCCTCTTCTATAGATGTTTCAGTGCTTTTGCTCAGGCAGCTCCCACTCCCTGAAATGCTCTTTCCCCTCTTTAATTCCAGCCCATCACTTCACTATACCCAAATATTTCAAGGCTCTGATCTATCAAGATTTCTTCCCTAAAACACTCAGCCAGAATTAACTTCTTTGTTCATGTTCTCATAGACCGCATTTTTGTTTCCCTTAAAGATACAGTCTTGCTTTGGAGACCTGGCTGGCCTTGAAGTCACAGTGATCCTCCTGTCTCAGCCTCTCAAATGCAGGGATTATAGGCATGCACCATCATGCCGGGCTTTTTTTTTTTCCAATTATAAATTTCAGGCCAGAAAGATAGCTCAGTAGCATAAGCACCTGCTTGACAAGCGCAAGATCCTGAGTTCGATCCCTGGTACCAAGAAAATATAATAAATTTCTTCCTACATAGAACAGTATTTGTATTAAGTATACAGCACTAAGTATATACTTGGTTTTCATAATTTGAAAATATCCTTGTAACTGTTAAGTATTCAGATCAAAACCCAGTATAATCAGCACTCCAAAGCATGTCTCAGGTTTACCTCTAGTCACCACGAATAAATTATATAAAGTAAGTGCAAAAAGAAAAAAAAAAAAAACAAAACAAGGAAATGCAGATATGTATCAGATATTTCTGTATCTGGCTTTTTTTTTTTTTTTTTTTGCTTATTTGTGATTCTTTCATATTAGTAGTAGTAGTTAAAGATCAGTCCTTCCTATGACTATAAATACTCTGTTTTAATTGTTGAGACAAGGTGAGGTGAGGTCTCTCAATGTTGCCCAGGCTAGCCCTGAACTCATGGGTTCAAGTGACCCTTTTGCCTCTGAGTTCCAAGAAGCTGGGACTATATATGTGCATGGCCACACCTGGCTTGAGTATTCTACTCATGGGCATTTGAGTAATTTCTTTTTTTTTTTTTTTTAATTTTTATTTATGTGTGTGTGTGTGTGTGGCCAGCTTAGCCCACCAGGGGGCGGGGCTGGCTGGCATGTGGTGCTGGGGGATTGAACTGCGGTCCCTGGGCTTTGCTAAGCTTGTTCTAAGTAGGTGCTTTAGACCACTGAGCCATCTCACCAGCCCCATGTAATTTCTATTATGAACAACACATCTATGAACTTTCTTGTAGAGATCTTTTGGCAAATATATATGCATTCCTCTTGGGAAATGCCTACTTCCATACTGGAGTTGAACTGTTGGGTTTTAGAGGATCAGTTTTAGCACACGTGACCAGTTTCCCATAGTATGTTTACCAGTTTACACTCCTACCAGTCTAGTATAAATGCTCCAGTCACAGCTTGTATTTTTACCTTGACTATAACACACAGAACCTGTAGAATGGGTACTCAGAAAATGTTTATTACTCTTTACAAACTCTGACACGCACTTCGATCCTATCACATACCATATTTTTCTGCATCATGTATTTGTTTTTTCTATAGACAGGTGAGGTCTTGTATTCATTCCCTAGCAGGTTGGCCAAAGGATCAGCATACAACAAGGAAGATTTTTATTATTTTATTATTTATGTATTTAATTGTTATCATTATTATTTGGTGAGTGTGTGTGGCACTGAACCCAAAAAATATTGAGCTACATCCCTAGCCTTTTTTTTTTTTTAAATATATTTAGTACAGGGTCTACAAGGTCTCACTATACAGATCAGACTCGTAGTGATCCTCCTATCTTCAGCCTCCCAAGCGCTGGGATTACAGGTGCGTGCCACCATACCCAGTCTCATTCCCCTCTCAGCACTCCCGGGGGGGGGGAGGGGGGAGCGTGGCACACCAGGGATTGAACCCAGGTCCCTGCGCTTGCTTAAGCAGGTGCTTTAGTCCGCTGAATTATCAGGCCGGCCCTTCCCTAGCCTTTTTGTAAAATTTTATTTTAAGCCAAGGTCTCACAAAGTGGCCAAGGCTGGCCTCACATTTATAATCCTCCAACTTTAGCATCCTGAGGATTACAGGTGTATACTGCCACACCCAGACCAATAAGTGTTTTTTGAAATTTCTTTGCAATAATATTCTTACTTTACCCAAATCAGTTCAATTTTGTTGTTTTTATGGTCCTGGGAATCAAACACAAAGTCCTGTGCATGCTAGGCAAATGCTTTGCCACTGAGCAACACCTCCATCCCTGAATCTCCAACTCTGAAATCACTGTAACTTAGCAGTACCTAAGTTACAGTGATTTTTAACTTTTTTGGCACTGGGAACCAGGTTGCTTTTTTTTTTTTTTTTTTTTTAATACATGAGCACAAATGCACTTTTATTTTCCATTAGTTTAAATTCTTGAGAGGTACAGCATCATGAAGATTCAGTGTCCGATGGCTTTAGCAGGAAGGTTGCTTCGGAACTTGGCACAAGCCACACCGCTGTTTCCATGGGCCCAAGTTACTTTTCCCCAGATCACTCTGATTTTGTTTGGCTTGCCACCTGGAGTCACTGTGTTATTTTTCACTTTGTACACATAAGCACAGCTCTTGCCCAAGTAGAATTCAGTTTCATCCCAGGCATAAACACCTTCAATTTTAAGAAGAGCTGTGTGTTCCCTCTGGTTCCGGAGACCCCGCTTACAGCCAGCAAAAATGGCCTTGCGTCAGTCTTCCAGACATACTTTTCGAAGTCCTGTTCCCAGCAGACCTCCCCAGACTCCACGATGGCGGAAAAAGGAAACACTTTTTTTTCTTTAGACTGGGACTCGCCACACAGTCCAGGCTGGCCTGAACTCACTATGTAACCCAGGCTGGCCTCAAACTTGTGGCTGTCCTCTCTCAGCCTCCTGCATGCTTGGATTATGGTTACACACCACCCCACCTGGTTTGAGGACCAGTTTTGTGGAAGACAATTTTTTCACAGGCTAGATCAGGGTGGCAGATACAGCTTCAGGGTGGTCTCACAAGGAGTGCACGAACCCAGATCTCTCCTGCAGACCCAGCTCACAGTAGGGGTCACACTTCTGTGAGGATCTAATAGCAGCCGCTGATCTGACAAAGAGGTGGCGCCAATGCAATAATGCAAGCAGTGGGGAGCAGCTTCCCTTGGGCCACTCACTTCCTGTTATACGGCCAACAAGCCACTTTTTTTCTTTCTTCTTCCAATTTTATATGCATATATCTGGTAATATGAATAACTGACTGGAAGACAACACTATGAATTATAACAAATACTGTGAAATTCATATTACTTTGTCAAGTGAAATTCTGTATCACTTGTAACTCTTTTTTAAAACTTTTTTTGGTAACTTTTTAATTCTGATTTGTACTATTTAAAAATTTTTTTTAAAATTAAAAAGAAACAAAATAAGTCACATACCAGTACCAGCCCGAGGCATGGGAACTGGGGGCCTCTGCTCTAACTTTAGCTAAAAATCTCAAATCCTTTTCTGAGTTTCTACAGTTCACCAAAACCAAACAAAATCCTGCAAAATGAGCTACATTTTCAAAAGCAAGACAACTGTATAAAAGCAGAACAAAGCTAAACATCTCATGTATTTTAGTAGTTTCACTCACATATTTTAGTCAAGTTTCATGAGCCCTGCAGGATCAAGGGAGGAAACAAGAAGACAAAGATGCTCTGTTCACTCACTGACTCTGAACTTCTTTAAATTTCAGCTCAAATACCGTAACTATGTAACCCAGGCTGGCCTTCCTGCTATGGGTTCTTGAAAGGCCCCTGCTATCAGACAGACACATTTTTGTGCTTCCACGGCATTTTGCCCTCTGGTTATTTCATTTTGTTCCATTTAAGCCTCACTACACTGTAGGACCTAAAGGAATACAATGTCTAGGACATATTGTCAATCAGAATGCAATGGAAACTGCATAAATCTTTGAATCTATACTGCCCAAATATACTATCATTAAGCACAAAAAGATATGGCAAATGTGAATGAGGAACTGAATATTCTATCTTATTTAATTCTGATTAATTTACAGTTAAATAGACATATGTTATTATTCGTAGCTACCAAAAGTAACAATGCAGATAATCATAATAAAGTTCTGAAAATGTTCAAATGTCTTTTTCCTTAGAAGATTCTTATTCTAAATAGCTCAGCAGATTAAAGTGCCTGCAAGCAGGCACAGGGGGGTGGGTGGGGGGTTGCTTGATCCCGGGGCCTGCAGTGTAGAACCCGCCCCACAGGGCTCGCTGAGACGGAAGACTGGGTGTGGTGGCATGCGCCTGTAATCCCAGCCCTTGGGAAGCTGTAAACAGGAGGCTCACTACAAGTCCCGATCTAGTAATGAGACCCTGAACACCCTGTAGACCCTTCCCTAAAATATAGGGGGGTGGGGGAGAAGACTCTTATTCAAAAGATAGGGAGAGGGGGCTGGGGAGATGCCTCAGTAGAATAGGCACTTCCCTGGCAAGCACAAGGGCCTGAGTTCAATCCCCAGTTCCGTAAAAAAAAAAAAAAAAAAGAAGAGAGGGCCAGAGGGCCAGGGATATACCTCAGCGGTATAAATGCCTGCCTGGCAAGCGCAAGGTCCTGAATTCAATAAAATAAATAAACAAACAAATGAATAAAAAGAGAGGGAATCAACTGGTATAGGTAATGTATTATTATTTTTTTTTTTTTCCGGAACCGGGGATTGAACTCAGACCCTTGCGCTTACCAGGGAAGTGCTTATTCCACTGAGCCATCTCCCCGGCCCGGTAATGTATTATTTTGGGGGGTTTTTGTTTTGTTTTTTGGTACTGAGGATCAAACTCTGGACTTTGTGCTTGCCAGGCAGGCACTTAAACCTCTGAGATATTCCCCTGGGCCTGGTATGGGTAATGTAAAAGGATACTTTCTAAATATATAATGGCCAGGCATGGTGGTATGTTTATAGTGCCAGCACTTGGGAGGCTGAGGCAAAAGGACTCCAAGTTTTAGGCTAGCCTGGGCTACAAAGGAAAACCCTGTCTCCAGCACAAAAGAAATAAAAAAGAACAGGACATGGTCCTTTCCCTCAAGAACTTATAGTCTGGCGGCAGAGGACATATAATCATATAATTACCCTATCTTGGCTACACCTAGCTGAAAATTCCTCTAGCCCCTTTTCTACTTGTGATAACTTACTAGATGACTTCACTAACACTTTGGGGCCTAAATATAAGATAGCTAGATTTTGATGGGGAATGTAAAGTGGCTGACAAAATGTGGGTGAAACAAACCACATGAAGACGGTGCAAATAACAAGGCAAGGCTACAGAATGCAGTGCCTGGGGACATGAATTTGAATAGGCGCTTTTCCTACTCAAAGTCTTTTTAAAAAATACATTCTCATATATTGATATTCATTCTCTTTCCCGTCTTTCCCCTCCTCATCTGTGGAGTTCTGGGGATTGAACCCAATGACTTCACAGAGAGCTATGTCCCCACACCTTTTTTGAGACAGGGTCTCACTAAATTGCTAAGTTGGCCAGGCTCAATTTGAACTTGCAATCCTCCCACCCCAGCTTCCCAAAGTGCCAGAATTACAGGCATGTGCCATCACACCCAGCAAAAATTTATATTCTTTGACTGATATTCAAAGCCCCCCGTAATCCGACCCCAAATCTCTTTCAAGCCTTACACTTTAGTACTTGACGATAGCCTCTTTCCTTAAACAAGACTCCTGAATGCACCACTGCTTTTCTTCTGAATGCCTTTTCCTCAAGCCATTTCACCTGCTTGAAACATCGTTCTTTTTACTGTTTTTTTTTTTTTTTAGGAAACTCCATACAGATTTCCATTGTAGCTATACTAGCTTACACTCCCTCCAGTAATGTAGAAGGGTTCCTTTTTCTCTGAAGGCCTTGTCTGTACTTGTTATTATTTGATCTTTTAACAATAATCACTTTTTCTGAAATAAGATGCAATCTGAGCATGGTTTTAATATGCATTTTTGTAGTGGCCGTTAAGTCCTGAACAGTTTTTCATGTATTTATTGGCCATTTTCACTTCCTGTTCTGAGAACTGTTTATTCATTTCAGTTGTCAATCTTCTGATTTTTGTCTTTTATTTGAAGGGAGGCCTCTAACTGAGTTCCTCATGTAGTCTAGATACTAGTCCTCTACCTGAAGAACAGCTGGCAAACATTTTTTTTTTCATTCCTGTAGGTTGGCTCTGTTGGTTGTTTCCTTTGCTGTGCAGAAGCTTTTAAATTTGATATGATCTGATTTGCTAATTTTAGATGTTATTTCTGGGGCAGCTGCTGTTCAGAAAGTCTTTGCCTATTCCTATGTCATCGAGTTTTATCTATTTATCTTTCAGCAAAGCAAGCATTTCTGTTTTAACATTTATATCTTTAGCAATGTACAACCTTTTTTAAAAAAATTTTATTTATTTTTGTGTGTGTGTGTGGCCAGCTCAGCCCACCAGGGGGCGGGGCTGGCTGGCATGTGGTGCTGGGGGATTGAACTGCGGTCCCTGTGCTTTGCTAAACTTGTTCTAAGTAGGTGCTTTAGACCACTGAGCCATCTCACCAGCCCCACATTTATATCTTTGATCCATTTTGATGTTAGTTTAGTACTTGGTGAGAAGTATTGGGTCTATACTCAATCCTCTGCATGTGGACAGTCAGCGGAAAACTATCTTCTAATGTGTTTTTGGCATTTTTTGGTTAAAGATTCAAAATAAACCTTAAAAAAGGGCTGGGGCCAGGCACTGTGACAGAAACCTGTAATCCCAGCACTGGGAGGCTGACGTAAGAGGACTGCCATGAGTTCAAGGCCAGACTGATCTACAAAGTGAAATCTTGTCTCAAAAAAAAAAAAAAAAAAAAGGCTGGGATCAAGTGCGGTAAGTAGCCCAGACCAGTACTCTGTAAGGCAGAGGCAAGGGGGTAGTGAATTTAAGCTCAGCCTAGGCAATTTAGTAATTTAACAAGACTCTGTCTTAGAATTTTACTCAAGCTGGGCATGGTGGCACATTTTTAATCCCACAATACTGAGGCTGAGGCAGGAAGATCACCACAAGTTGGAAGCAAGCCTGTGCTGCATAGTGAGTTCAAGGCTGATGTGAACTATATATCAAGACCCTGTCTCAAAAAATGAAAATAAAAAATGATTTTACCTGACTCATTCCATCATTTTTGAGATATGTCATTAATTCTTCTTTATATTCTGGAGAAATTAATTTGGTCAAGGACATGTAATAGCTTAGAACAGAACTATGACTCCAATCAATTCTAACTTTATAATCTGTAAATTGTATCACCCTCCTTTCCTGCATGCACCTACAATCACATTATAACAATAGTTATTGTTTCTGCCACTTGGTTATTACCAGAAACAGCTTATACACAGAGACGCATAAGGGGAGTCTTTTCCTTTCCTATCTTTTTATCTTTCTTGTTTCATATTTTACCACTGTAAGAGGGTCTATAAGAACTCTTACTGTCATGTGTGGGTGGGGTGGCGGTGGTGTGTGTGTGTGCGTGTATGTGTGTGTGTGGTGATGGGGATAAAAGCCAGGGCCTCACAAATGCTAGACAAATGCTTTACAACTGAGCTACAGCTCAAGTCCAACTTCACTGTTTTTTTCTTTTTATCAAGTCTGTATAGCACACAATGGTATATGCCTATAATTCTAGTAAGTCTCAGAAGCTGAGGCAGGAGACACAAAAGCAATTTACTGCAATGCAATGAGTAAGTGCCAGAGCTAAATAACTTTTCTGAATTAGAAAAGGTTTCTACTCTAACTGAAAAGTGTTTTGTCAATAATCAGCCTTACAAATATGACAATATTTAGAGACTAAATTGCATAAATTTAAAAAATTCTAAATCTCATTCAAGAGCTAGAAACATTATACAGTACAAGGAGCATTAGCTTTTAACATCAAAACACAGATTCAAGTTCCTGACCCACTATAATTTTCTACCACCAGTAAGTTACCACTAAACACCAAGCTAGAAAACAGAAATATAAAATAAAAATGGAGATTACACTCACTTTGCTGGTTGTTCTGAAAATTACATACACTAGTTACTAGTATAAATAAGCAGCTTTATACAATGTCTGGCACACGATATATATTCAATAAATATCACTTCCCTTCCTTTTAAATAAAATTCCTTTGTATCCAAAGTTATTTTGCTCAGAACTATAAACCTAAGGATTTCCAAACTTTTTGGCAAATAAGACCCAACTCAAATATCAGTTATTACTTCTCTTTTCTTTTTCTTTCTTTTTTTTTTGGCGGAACCAGGGATTGAACTCCAACCCTTGTGCTTGCCAGGCAAGCGCTTATTCTACTGAGCCATCTGCCCAACCCCTTCTCTTATTTTTCAAATCAAATGACATAACTGCAATGGAAAGTGTCAAATTGATTTTTTTTAAATATGTATTTAGTACAGGGTCCATAGGCTCTCACTACACAGATCCTGTTTTCAGCCCACCAAGTGCTGGGATCACAGGTGCACATGACTGAGCCCAGTCTCAATCACTGTCTCAGCATGTCCTGAGGGGTGGGGTTGGCACAGCCGCGGAGCTCTGCCTAAGCAGGCGCTTTAGTCTGCCAAGCAATCTGGCCAGCCTGAGAGTGTCAAATTGATGTGTGAGGGAAATAATGTGTTGTTTCATAGTTAAAAACAGTAAGATAAAGTTATGGTTAATCTGAAGATAACTGTATGATTTTGACTAGCTCTCTGAAACACTGGAAATACTACTAAATCCCCCGCATTTCCACAAAGGATCTTACGGATCCAAGAACTCCAGGCTAGAAATACAAGAAAAAAGGGCTGGGGTGGCAGCTTAATGATAGAACACTGAAGGCCCTGGATTAAATCCTCACCATGGGGCGGGGGGAAGAAATTGAGGGAATTTGTGACAGGGACTATTTTTTGTTACTAGACATTATCCCAGGTAGATGGAAGGTCAAAAGAGCCAATGAAAGTAAGGTGCTGTGTTCAGAAGATGTACGAGTCTAAATCCCACTAAGAGTTTCTGCTATGTAGCTCTTCTCTCTTACTAGAGCCTCTACCTGTTTTCAGTCCCAGTGCAGAAATCACTAGGAGACAAGCACATAACAATACTGCAGGAATGCGTGCTGGCTAGCTGGCTAAAGGGCAGAAGCAGAAAGAGATTAAGAGGAAGGAAACAAAAGCATTGCTGGAACACTTACCGGCTAAATTTGTGTTAGAAACTAATGCTAAAACTCTTGAAAAACCAAAGACCACAAATGTTGCAAAACAATCAATATAATAACAAAGTCTACAAGTGAAAAATTCCCAGTTCAGTCTGATTTACTAGAGCACTCTGTGCTTTGGAGTCAAGATTTTACTTTTTTCCAACTGTTTACCTACTCAATAATTACGTTGTTGGGATCGAGGTCTTTCCCAGTCCCTTGGTTGACAACTTTCATGGAGAGGGATACTTTTATTCTATCATTTTTCATCTGAAAAACACAAAAGAAGAATCACCCAAACTCTAAGGACACAATGTAGACGACTAATCCAAATCTGCCCAAGCATCAAAGTTTTCATCATCATGACACTGAGCTCCTCCAACAGCCAAGCTACTGTGTCAGGAACACCGCAGGTACAAGACAGCGTAACAGGCAGACTTAAAGGCAAGGTTGGAGGACATGGTCTTTAGCTCACTCCTGTCCCTAGAGGAAAGACAGAAATGACTGTTCAGAAATCTAAGGCCTGAAGAGGTACGAGACAGAAAACAAAAGATGAAATTCACCATAGGTGGTGATCTGTTCAGAAATCCATTAAGCTCATGAAGCTTGAAGTCACTCATGAGTCACGTTGCTTCCTGCAGCACAGGAAGCCCTTCTTTCCACAGGGCCTTTGCATCAGCTATTTTCTCTGCAATGTTCTTATTCTGACTTGTCATATAATTAGTTCTTTTTCCTTTGGGTCATAGTACATATATTATTTACCCTTTCCTGACAACTTCATCTCAATCTACCTTCAATACTGTTTGAACCCAAGACAGTACTTATTATAACTTGCAATTATTTTATGTATATATTCATGTTTTAAAATTTTGTCTCCTCCATTTACATTATATATGAGCTCCATGATAGCTTGGATCTTTTATGAATGGTATGCTATTGTATCTCCCAAGCCTGATATATGTCAAGCACTCAAATCCTGTTGAATAACCATCTCTCTTGCAACATGAGTGGATATTCAAATGTCTCCTACAATTTGCCCTTATTTACAGCCCTCATACTTTTAAGTGAATTGTTACTGACAAACGGAAAACAAGTTTTACAGATTTTTACTACACCACTTTTGTAGTTCATATCATTACTTCTGAGTCTGCAGGATAATTAGAAGATTAAAATTTAAGACAGATGATTCCAGCAGGATTTAAAAGTAGACTACCAGCCACGACTAACAACATTTCCACATTCATATCATAAAATTCCAAGAAAATTTCGGCTTTTTCTAGTCCTTTCTAACCACACCAAGTTGCATAGACCTTTACCTCTCGGCCAATAAGTTTCACCCACACTTTGTCTCCGACATCTACTATCTCAGAGGGCTTATCCACCCGACAGGATGACATGTGAGTTCGATGGACCAGACCTAGACACAAGAAGAAAGAAGATAAGCAGAGAACATGTATGATACTTATACTCTAAACAGGAAAGGAGGAGGAGTTGAAAAATATAAGAAATAAAAGTTTTTCACTGAAAAGGTAAATTAAAGTTGCAATTAAAATAATTTGAGAGCAGGGCTGGGGAGACAGCTCTGCAATCTACATGCCTGCCTGGCAAGCACAAGGACCCCCGTTTGATCCCCGGTTCCGGCCCCAGAACCCCAGGAGCACCGTGTTGGCCCAGAAATTAGACACAGTGGCGCATGCCTATAATCTCAGCGCTGGGGAGGCTGAAACAGAAGGATCACTGTGAGTACAAGCTGCAGAGTGATCCTCTGTGCCAAACAAACAAACAAATAAATAAATAAATGATTTTTTAAAATAATTTGAGAACTTTGTGTGTGCACACACACACATATGCAGGGGTGGTACTGACTGAACTCAATGCCTTCTCACAGCGCTACATCTCTGACCCATTCTTATTTCTGATTTTGAGCCAGGGCTTTGCTAAGTTGTCCAGGCTGAGTGCCAACTTGTGATTCTCCTGCTTCTGCCTCCTAGAATGCTTGCTGGATTATAGGTATGTGCACCACCACGCCTGGCTTGAGATTGCTTTTCATACCTAACAAATCAGTAAACATGCTTTAAAATACTGCTCGGTTAGCTCAGCTGTGGAGAATGTAACCTTTTTATGCCAGTGGGTTTTTGCAGATATTGGTTTTTTTTTTTTTTTCTTTTTCTTTTTTTGCAATACCGGGGATCAAACTGAGGACCCTGTGTTTGCCAGGCTGGTGCTTATGCCACTGAGCTATCTCCCTGGCCCATATTTCCTTAGAAAAAACTTTAATTATGATATTCTTAAATCAGAGATACAAGTATCTTTGTTCCTTTCTCTCTAATAATTCTACCAACTTGTATTCCAACTTGTATTCCAGTATTATATGATGGCTGTTATTTTACTGTACATTTACTAACATTGAGAAGAATTAATTTTTTTTTTTTTTTTTTACTTATTTATAGTTTTTGGTGCTAGGGATTGAATCCAGGGCCTAGTAAATACCACAGTAATTTGTTCAGGGATAGATGAGAAACCAGCTAAATCCACCACCATCTTTCTCAAAACTTTTATAAGGATTAGAAATAACAAAAAAATCCTAAAAAAAAAAAAAAAAATTAAAAATTAAAAAAAAAAAAAAATTCTGCCAATGTTAATCTTTACCACAAGATGGCAACAGTCTGCCAGAGGGAAGGAAAGCACTGGCAAACAATAGATATCAGACTGAGTACTTGGTAAGAGCCAAAGCTGAAGCTAGACTCATTCTTCAGGTCCCCAGCAAGATTGTCCAGGATATTTAACTATGTTTCTGTCCTTTACAGTCTAGAATTCTGACTACTAATTAATTTCACCATAATTACTTCTGAGAATCTGTCCAAAGGAAATAAGCTTGTTCTTTCTTGCTTACTGACCTCAAAATTGAGTGAGGTTCAAGCAATTTTCTTGCTCTCACCTCCAGAGGTGCTGAGACAACAGGCAAGTGCCACCATACTTGTCTAAGTGTACTAAGATAGGAAAATTTGGAAAACAATATCTTACACAAGTGCAATGATTCAGGTATAGTCTCTTAAATAAAAGTCTTTCAAAAGATTATGTTAAAAATGCTAATTTATTTTTTTAGTGAATACTGAGTACCTACTATGACAAGCACTATAAGAATATACCATTTTTCCATGCTAAAAAGTACAGTGCAGGGGCTGGAGAGATAGTTCAGTGCAATAAGCGCTTGCCTGGCAAGAGTAAGGGCCTGAGTTCAATCCCTGGTTACACACACACACACACAAAGAGCACATTGCAAATTTGATACTATGATTACAAACACTCAAGATACATTTTAAAAATCAGAAATGACCCAAAATGTGAACAATGGGCATAGTATTATAGGTTAATATGTTGTCATTTCTTTTCAGATGTTTCCATAATTGAGAAAAGTATTTCTATTCAAGAGAAATGAAAACTAAACAATTATGTTGGATAGTGATAATAAACATGGAATTATGTCTAAAGTAATGTTGCTTCTCACCAAGAGTCCCCCAAACTGCTTGGGAGACTAAGCTGTAACTGTTCTCTCTCGTTCTCTCTCTCTCTCTCTCTCTCTCTCTCTCTCTCTCTCTCTCTCTCTCCCCTCTTACACACACACACACACACACACACACGTTCATGCCTGAAACTCAAACTATCTATCTTTCTATTTCATGTTCCTACTGGAGGTAATTTATCTACACATGGTCACTGGGCTTCTCACACTATACATCAGCGGATTCTGGAGGTTCAAGGTTCACAGCCTATCTATCTGTCGGTACTATTTTTTCATTTTTAGATTAACATATTGGGTAGACTTCATGCAGAGGGGGTTTTACCACCTCCCCATGACTTGCCTCATTAGAAAGTTTGAAAAAAAATTCAGTCCCCCTAAAGGACAGGGAAATCTTTTACCTTGATTTCTTTTTTTGTTGCGGGGGCTGCAGTTTCCTCTAGTGGTTAATACTTACTTTCCCCCTGTTGTCAGAAGTTGTAGAGGAAATGAATTTTTAGCCTAATGTGATTGACTGAGAGACTATTCTCCTTCTCTAAAATTAAAGTTTACTTATTGGACTATCACAAAGAGATAATGGCATCAACAACTTGTCTTCCCACTTGATACCAAAGTATACTCTTCAATACAGGCATCTCTTTCATGGTTATGTATGTATGGCATGCCTATAGGCATATCAACAGAAAAAAAATTAGAAACAGCTTAAAATGTTTATGTAGTGTATCTGGATGGTAAAGTCATTAAATGTTTACAGGAGCATTTTATTTTATTTTATTTTATTTTTAAATTTTATTTATTTATGTGTATGTGTGTGTGTGGCCAGCTCAGCCCACCAGGGGGCGGGGCTGGCTGGCATGTGGTGCTGGGGGATTGAACCGTGGTCCCTGTGCTTTTGCTAAGCTTGTTCCAAGTAGGTGCTTCAGATCACTGAGCCATCTCACCAGCCCCTACAGGAGCATTTTAAAAGATGGGAAAATGTTAAAGGTTCATTCACTGTATAAAAAACTACAATGTGTATATGTGTTATTAGGGATCCTCCTTGGGACCTTTGTGTTAACCTATATCCCCAGCCCTTTTTAAATTTTTATGTTGAGATTCACTATGTCACTAAGTTTCCCAGGCTGAGCTTGAACTTGTGATCCTCCTGCCTCAGCTTCCTACAATGCTGGGATAAGAGGTGTATACCACTATGCCCAGCTAAAAAGCTCAAATTTTAATGTGTAATGTTAATCTCAACATGTTAAATTTTACACAGTTATGTAACAAAAAAAAAAAAAAAAAGGTAACCGAGGCCAGGTAGATAGCTCAGTGGCATAAGTGCCTGCCTGGCAAGTGCAAGGTTCTGAGTTCAATCCCCAGTACCAAAAACAAACAAACAAACAAAGGTACTTGGGAAACTGAGGCAGAAAAATCACTAGTTTGAAGCCAGTCTGGGCAACTTGGCAAGACCTCGCACAACAAAAAAAGGGTTAGGGATGTAGCTCAGCACTAAATTATTTGCCAGGGCCGGCCAAATAGCTCAGAGACTAAAGCATCTGCTTAGGTAGATGCAGTGGCTGCGTGCTGTCCAGCCCTGCCCCGGGGGCACACTGAGGTAGTGATTGACACTGGGGTGTGGTGGCACACCCCTGTAATCCCAGCCCTTGGGAGGATGAACACAGGTGGATCAGTATGATTCCAATCTAAGTAGTGAGACCCTGTAGACCCTGTACTAAAAATGCAAAATAAAATAAAATAAAAACAATTTGCCTAACATGCACGAAAGTTCAATTTCTAGTACTGAGTGTGGGGGGTATGTTAATCATAGTAACAGTATCACATAGTGATTGTTTTCTCCCTTTTCTACAAGCATGCATTATTTTTAACTATAAAATATCCTAAAAGTAAGTTTAAGTTATATATATACTGTAACTGAAATTACGTAAAACTGTCTCATTTGGACACAGGCCAAAAGTACACATAAGAGTTACACTGGGAGGGGCTGGGGATATAGTTCAGTAGCTTAAGTGACTGCCTGGGAAGTACCAGGTCCCAAGTTCAATCCCTAGTACCAAAAAAAAAAAAAAGAAAAAAAAAAAAGAGTTACATTGGGATATAAGGATTTTTAAAGTCTAGACATTAGTGGCTGATTACCAAAGGCATTAACCTATACAGTGAGTTAAATGAGACATGCTCTAGTCCTCAGTCTACAATGTCAGATAGGCATTTGCATATGTAAGTCTGTGGTTCAGAAGACAAACATAAATTGGAGATGTAAAAATCTTAAGCATACATTTGCTTGGACAGTCGTCCCATCTCTCAGTATCTCAGGGAGATTGGTTCCATGATCTGCAGGATATCAGACCTGTAGATGGTCAAGTTCCTAAAGAAAACTGTGTCCTAGTTGTCTATAACACCCCAGTACACTTTCAACTATCTCCAGATTATATATATATATATATATATATATATATACACACATATACATATATATATATCAATATCACAATATAAATGCTATGCAGTTATCATACTGAGTTATCTAGGGAATAATAAGAAAAAAGGTACATATTCTGTACAGCAAAAATTTGTTTTTCCTAAAATTTCTTTCTTTTTTTGGTATTTTTAGGGAAGGGTCTACAGGGTGTTCAGGGTCTCACTACTAGATCAGACTCATAGTGATTCTCCTGTTTACAGCCTCCCAAGTGCTGGAATTATAGGTGTTGCCACCATGCCCTGTCTCAATCACAGTCTCAGAGTGCCCCAGGGGCAGGACCAGCATGGCAGGCCCGGGGATCGAACCCCCAGCCCCTGCACCTGCTTGCAGGCAATATTTTTTCCTAAAATTTCTGATACACAGTTGGTTGAATGTAGAACATACATGTAGAACCCATGATCCCTGTGAGATGTGGCTGCTC